CCATCCCGTGACTCCAACCTGCTCCAGCACCCAGGAGCCGGCTCTCAGAGCTCCGTTTTCAGCCTCTCGTGCAGGTCCTGCTGGTCGATGAGGTGCCGGTTCCCGTGCCAGCGGTGATAGCCCAGCAGCGCCGCGTTGCGGGCGGCGATGGGTCGGAGCTCTATGGCGCGGCCGCCCCGCTCCAGCCCGCTCACGTAGTACAGGTTGTCGTGCAGGATGATGGGGGGACACTTCTCCGGGGGGCTGTAGTGAGGGTACGCCAACCACTTCTTCACCTTCACCGAGTCGTAGGAGGAGAAAAGCAAGCGAAGCTGCTCTTTGCTGAGCTCCTCCTGGGAAAACACCTTCCAGACGTGGGATTGTGAGGGAGACTTCCCATCCTCACCCACCCCGTCCACAGGAGACACCACCCCCAGGCTGTTGATGAAGAGTTCTGGGTTCTCCGTGGTGAAGATGGCATCCAAACGGAAGCTGGAGGGGTCCTGGTACCCAAAGAAGGAGGCGTTGAGGCGCCCGTGCACCAGGGTGGTGACAGTTTGGTGGTAGGGGTTGGGGAACTCGGGGACAGGGGGGTCGAAGTTCTTGAAGGTGATGTCGGCCATCCTGCGGCCCAGCGGGGCGGCGATGAACACCATGTCGTACGTGTCCCCTGTCAGGCCAGAGCTGGTGTTGTAGGTCACTTGGTACAGCTTCACCGGGTCCCCTGGGGAGAAGGGCTTGGTTATTCTGCAAGGAATCTCCCTTGTCCCATCAACCTGCCCCTGTCCCATCAACCTGCCCCTGTCCAAAGCCATCCCCCCCATCCAGCTGTATTTAATACATTAATTGTAAGATAACAGTTTTGGTTGGAAGGGACCTGAAAGATCATCCAGATCCAACCCCCTGCATGGGCAGGGGCACCTCCCACCAGCCCAGGCTGCTCCAAGCCCCATCCAACCTGCCCTTCAACACCCCCAGGGATGGGGCAGCCACAGCTTCCTTGGGCAACCTGGGCCAGGGTCTCACCACCCTCACAACAAAGAATTCCCTCCTCATCTCCAACCTCCAGCTCCCTCTCCCAGTTTTCATCCATCCCCCTCATCCCATCCCTCCCTGCCCTTGTCCCAAGCCCCTCTCCAGCTTTCCTGGAGCCCCTTCAGGCACTGGCAGCTGCTCTAAGGGCTCCCTGGAGCCTTCTCTTCTCCAGGCTGAACACTCCAACTCTCCCAGCCTGGCTCCAGAGCAGAGCTCCTTGGATTGTCTCTGTTTCCTTCCTCTGGACTCATTATGAGCTGAAGTACCTTTAGAAACTGGTTTTCTTTGGTTGTGCTGTGAGCTGGGGCTTGGAGCAGAGCCCAGATTTCATCTTAAAACACCAGGGAAGACCCAGGCTGGTGCTTTGGTCAGCCCAGAGCTGTGATGGAGACCAAGGTGGGTCTCCAGCTGCCCTTCCCCTCCCTTACTGAAGGTAAAACAAACCCCACTCACCTATACGACTGGGTCTGATTTTTGGCTCAATAGACACAACAGTACCAGAGATCACTTCAGCTTTGGAGGCCTGGAGAAGGCCAGTGCAGACCAGTTTGTTCCCCCCTTTTACTGCCCAAAGGCCTGAGTCCACCCCAGCCAGAGAAACTGCACCTAAGGAGGAAACCACGGTTAGCAGGGAGGTTGGGCTGGGGTCCAAGTTGAAAAACACCTGGCAAGACTTCAAAGCCATGTAGATGTGGTGCTGAGGGACATGGTTTAGTGGTGACCTTGGCAGGGCTGGGTGAACGGTTGGGACTTGATGATTGTTTCCAGCCTTAATGATTCTATGATTTGATGATCTGAAAGGTCTTTTCTGAACCTAAGTGATTGTATGAAAATCAGGGAGAAAACTATCCCCAGAGTTTTGCTGAAGGCCAGGGCTGAGAGTTGGCCAGCAAGTTGTTGGAGTAAGGTGGTTGGAAGCACCAGGGAGTGAGAGTCTCATCCCCCACGAGAAGAACAAGGTCCTGAGGACAAGACATGTTGCCACTTCACCATCTGTACCCTTGTGTGTGGGGGGGAAAAACCTACCAAACACTTACCCACGAACCCGTTGATGTTGACACCTTGCCCATAGTTGACTCTCATGACTGGACACACCATCTCCTTGATGAACTTGTGGGAGAAGCCAGCTTGCTGCATGGCCTCCTCGATGGTCTGGTTCAGCATCTGGGTGAAGAGGGTCCCACCCAGGGCGTGCAGCAGCCGCTCGGCGCTGCTGAAGGCGAAGTCGTGGCTCTGGTACCGATAGATCCTTCAGGCAGAGACAAGACACAGGGGGGGTTGGGTTATTTTGGGTGGTCTGGGAAGCTCTGGAGGAGCTCAGAGAATTGTTCTGGTTGAGAGAGATCATGGAGTCAGCATGGGATTAGGGAATGGTTTGGGTGGGAAAAGAGCTGAAAGCTCATCCAGTCCCAACCCCCTGCATGGGCAGGGACACCTCCCACCAGCCCAGGATGCTCCAAGCC